TCTCTCTGTCATGTCTTTTACAAGTTTTTTATTAGCGTGATATCTTGCAAGATGTTTTTGTTTAGCTTCAGCATTTTTGACCGTGTCCTGTTTTACTTTTTCCCTATAACGTCGTTGTTTTTCAGCCAGTGTTGAAGCCATTATGTTGGGAATAGTATACTGTAACGAATCAATCTAAAATTAAATAGTTTTTAAATATAAAATTATTAAATAATGAGTAAAAACCTTAAGGTTTAACCACTGCGTTACTATAGCCACACCTGCGTTACTTCTCGTAGTAACGCAGTGTGTTGGTAACACAGTTGTAAAAATTATACATATTCTAACGTTTCAGCCATATAGTAATAAATTAAAAATATTTTTTAATGCCATTAAAAAATGTACACATTCTCATACAGATGAATTTAATAAAATTATCAAATATCTAAAAAACTCACCGTTTATCACCCGTAACTCAGCGGTTTCACAATAAACACACGCACCTCTCCTGCCGACTCTCGCGCGACTGGCTCGACCAATTCTAAGGATACGCACTCCCCCTGCATCCCACTAGCAATTGTTGACGAAACAAACGAATTTTGACGTTGAGGTATACAAAAAGCTAAGTTAAAGACTTATTTTCGTATGATAACACAGTGTTCGTGATTTTTCACTTAGCCACGGGGACAAGACAAGGAATGTTTCGTAAATTAGAAAATTCCAAAGGGAAATGATACTTATCAGTGTTGTAGTAAAGTTCAAACAACTGCTTATTACTATAGATATTCAAATTTAATAGCTATTTAAATATTTAAATTTAATTTTAGTGTTTTTGAAGTGAGTTGCTTATAGGGACAGCGCAATTTTGTAGGGAATACACCTGCGTTTCTCAGAAATACAACTGAGTTACCGTGATTTAAGAAAAAATATAAATTGTTCTGTTCATTTATTGTAATTTTCTTAGACGGGTATATTATCGCTAACGTACTAAGAGTGTTTTTATTTTAGAAATCGTTGTTTGCTTTAATAATAATCATTTTTGTTTGAAAGAGACCTGTTATTGGAACCAAAATAAAATAATAGCCCTAATACACATGAAGCCGTAGGCGGAAGCTAATGATATATAATATAGAGTACATTCTAGAGTGCTATTAATACAGTAGTAGTATTTCATATTTAAATATGAAATTTTATAAATATTCTATATATAAACAGTAATGCTATGTACATGTTATAATATTATACTATTTAAGATTCCATGTGAAACGTAAATACTTTCTTTGTATATTAATCATTGTTTTATAAATATGTGCAGTAGTTTATGAGAAAAACGCAATCTCCAAATAATGAATATATAATAAATTATATCATAAAAATACTTTTTCAAACCAAATTAAACATTTTTAGACTGTTATCGATGATGATGGGATGGAAGAATTTAACAAGCTCAACCCTGTTCTAATATTCATAATATCTATTTGACATGTTTGTTGACATTTGACTATTAAAAAACGATGACAGTGAAAAAGAGAGCTTTTTTGAGAGTTGAAGTTACTTCCTACCTACCCTTCCGTACCTTAACAGAATAATATTTATGATACAGAGTGTTATATGCTGTTGTAATGATGTTCTTATCTGAAATTTAGGAGTGTTATAATAAGCCCCAACCTCATCTGTTTGTAAGTATAAGTAATATGTTTCTTGTACTTCAAAAATTAAACTCCAAATCATGTCATGCTTTTTTGCATTTTTGCATGTCATGTTCCTTTAGAACTTATGTACATCTGTTTACTTTAAATTTACTTAACTTTAAAGTCCAAATTAGTTTAAGGTGATCCTTTAAAACTCGTGCTGAAAAACTTTGCCAATTTAACAGTCCAAGAAAGTATTCATAATAATCATAAGCCTCTAAGTCGGTTAAATAAAAACAAGTGCCTTTGGCTCATTTTTGTTGTATTTGAATATTCTATGTAATTTTTTTTTATTGAAACACAATAAAATATTTATATCTTAGTCGAAGAGAATTAAAAAATAAGTATATGCTAACCACTTGAAATAAATTATTTTCAAGTAAAAAATATTATATTTAATAAGAGTAAAATATGTTTTGTTAATATATTTAAGTGTGGTCCAGAAAAACGTAAAGCTAAATGATCCTACGGAGATGATGGAAAACTAGACAAGAAAGAATATACAAAGTTTAAAAATGACCAACCTTTATTGAAAGTAATCAAAGAAAATTGCCTGAATATAATTTCGAGACCGGTACCGCCGATATGTGATTTTCTGAGAATGAATTTTGTGTATATCATATATACATCTCAGAGAAGTGAGCAAAATTGTTACTAAGAAATTAAAAAAAAAAAAATTACACACTCGATAAGTTCTAACAACCAAAACCGCAATCATGATACGAATCTATACTAATATTATAAAGCTGAAGAGTTTGTTTGTTTGTTTGAACGCGCTAATCTCAGGAACTACTGGTCCGATTTGAAAAATTCTTTCAGTGTTAGATAGCCCATTTATCGAGGAAGGCTATAGGCTATATATCATCACGCTAAGAGTAATAGGAGCGGAGCACCAATGAAGAATGTTTCAAAAACTGAGAAAATTTATTACTATTGAGAGACGCAGACGAAGTTGCGCGGGTCAGCTAGTGTATTATATTATACGAATGATAAAACAGAAAGAGTGAATGTTTTTGATACTGGTACAAAAGTGACAGAGTAAAGCAGGGCTAAATTTTACGCTTTTTTCTTATGAAACAGGGGGAAAATGGATCACCTGGGGGAAAGTGACTACCGCCGCCTATGAACGCTTGCAAGTCAGGAGTCACAAGTGCGTTGGAGGCCTTTTATAAAGGAGTATGTTCTTTTCTTGAAAGTCGTATCGGTCCCGAAATACCGCAGACGATAACTAGTGTTTTCAAGTGCACACAGTGGTGGAGTGCCAATTATGCAAGTGATAGGGATGAAATTTTTGGAGAAAACCATTTCCCGGAGCACTATCCATGATATTTCTACTAAGAACGGTAGGTTAGCAATCTGATAAAGTCTCTGAGGTTTTCAAGGCATTCCATTCGAGATTTGACCACCGTTAGCACTGGAGCGTCGAAATTTATAAGATTAGTAAATAAATCACTAAATAAATTATTTTTATTACTTATGAATATATTTTTAAATACTTAAAAACACGCATAAATGGTGCACTGAATTAAAAATACGTAGTTGTTCCGCTATCTGCCTTCGGGTTTCAACATCAGACTATTACCAGTTACCGATTACAATTCCCGTTGAACTCGTTAAAATAAATCATATGAATCTAAGCTCCATATGTTTACCAATAATAGGTTTACTAGTTCTAAGTGTTTTTTATCTGAGTATCAAGATTTTTTTTTTAACATTTTAATAAAATTATGTGCCCTATTAAACTTGTAGCGTTGTATTTAGTTTGTTTTCTTTTCAAAATATTATGTCCTTTGGAGTAACGAACAAGACTGCCAAGGCGTTCAAGAATTGTTTGAAAACTGTTAACGGAATTAGAGAAAGAACAAAACCCGATACCTTGCAAATTCGTGATTTACACAAGCATAATTTTGGCTTTTATTCTGATTAGACTAGACACTAGCGACTATTTTTAGTTTATACACACACTTATATTAAAAAAAACAAACATTTGCATGATAATAATCTTTCAAATATGATTAATAGTTAGAACAATAACAGATAAGAACCATAGAATATATACGATCAGCATAGTATATACTCGTAGTTTTAAGTATAATTCATAACAATTTACCAGAAATCTTATGTATACCCTCACCCATCAAACTTAAATAAAGTACGAAGGAGTAAAAATATAGTATTTAATAGTACCTGTGAAAATATGATTAATTTTTTTTAATATTTTCATAATTAATTAAAATATTTTGTAACAATTTGCAATAATTCAAAAATCCAACTCACCATTTGAAATTACACCTAAAACCGTGAACCGTGAACCGATTCTTTTATTTAAATCACTAGTGCCACCATTTAAGTAGGTAAATTTTTCAAAACTTTGTAAACATTTAGAAAATTCTGAATCATTTAGATCGAAATATAACATAATTTTAATTGACTATAGCGAGTTCCCGGTACATGCTGTTTTATATTTTTTTTATTATAGTTTTATATTTTTACTAGCACGACGAAAAGAAAGCTGTAATATTAGCTATTACTATTAGCGAAACTGATGCTTTCTGAGATCTAATTTACAAGTCCTCGTGTTTCTGTTTCGTTTTATGTGGAAGTGCCACAGTGAGACCATATGTAATTCAAATGCAAACTCAAACAATTTTATTGAGTAGGTCTTCTACAGTGTACTTTTAAACCTCAGTAGTACAATTAACAAAAAGAGACACTAGAAAAACAGAGATGAATATGACCGTGATGACCTAGTGAAAGATATTTCTAGGTTTTTAGTAAATCATTCCCACGCTTTAAATTAGGAGATGAAAGATGTGAAATTTTAATCACTTTTCACACACATTCACATTACTTTTCTTTTATACAATAGTTCTTAAAGTAACAAAACGGACTAACCTCATATTTTGCCTAAGGTGTTGAGTTTGTGAAGTTAGGGCTTGTAGAGTTAGGGCCTGTAGTGTCAGAAGGATGGCTCTACATGAGATCTGAAAACTTTTTGACAGCGCGAGTCATATCTCGTCTTGGCGTCTCGTCTTGACAACATTTTACATGAAAATATTTTTGGTAGGATTACTTTGTTCTGGCCGAGGATTCATAAAAAAAATGTAAAATAAATTTCATTTTTCAATGAATGCCAGTTGTCTGCGAATGTACGCTATTAAAATAGATAATTTTTGACAATGTATTCAATTTAGTATAATCATAATATTGACACATGTAAATATGCCGTTTAAAAACTCAAATAAATAAAAAGACGGAAATCATTTTGAGTATAAATAGAAAAACATAGTTTTGTTAACAAGTGAGTTTTGAATCAGAAATTGAAATATCATGTTTCGTGCTGTAGGGTTTTTTGTGTGCGTATTTGTGGTTTTGGTAAGTAAACAATTGAACCCAAGTCAAAAATTAAGTGCAAGTTTAAAGTCCAAGTAAAAAAATTCTACCTACCATTTCAGAATGTACTTAGTTAGGTTAGGTATATTTAAATCTTAAAACTGGTTCTCGTCTTGTCTTTATCGTATTCCCAAACTAGTACATAGTATAGTTAAAGCAATATAGCATATTTTCATTTTCTTTTCTAAAATAAAGACTCCGATTTATAGAAACTTGCCATAACTGCCTTACTTGTGCAATGTTTAGTTTGATGATTATTTATACGGTATAAAAGTTAAAACTAAATAAAACTCTTTAGAAAATATCCAAAGGCAGGCATTGTAATTGAAAATGTTTGGAGAGAACACAGGTATTATTAGTTTTTTGTAAATATTCATTTAGGAAATGTTATTTTATTATAAATTTGCAAATATTTATTTTTGCATTGGCTTTCAAAAGATAACCGCTAAATCGCTGGGGCTAAAAACCGCCCAGTGTAAGAACCCATTTAGAAAGAAGTTTTATCCCTAAGGAGGTAAACGATTAAATGGTTATATAGAAGATCATAATTTTCAAAGTTAGTTAACCACGCGGGCAATAGCTACTCACAAATATACTTAGCTTTAGCCTTCGGCCTTGCTCGCTTTAATTTCGATGTCGTCACTCTTTTTTGGACAATAGTTAGTCTATATATTATGCGCTATTCCAGACTATTATCTAACAGTGTGACAACATTTATCAAGATCCGTTTACCTACTTTGTCAGTATTGAGTTTGAAAGATATTATATATTCAAACGATTTATTACAGTAATAGAATTTATTTCAATGCAAAATATGTTTATAGCTTGTGTAACTAAAAATATAGGGTTTTAGCATTAGTTAATATTTATACAGAGTTCAGTTATTGTACCAAAGGATACGTTGTGCTAAGCACTTTTTATGAAATTAATATTATTTTATCTTTGTTTCAAGGCCGTCGGAGACGAAGAATTGACAGAACGATGTAATAAATTTAAACTTGTAAGTAAATCTTACAACTTTTATAGCTTATAATTATCTGAGTATTTGTATGTTTGTAACTAAGTGACTCCGAGGTCCGTGTGGTGACGGATTAAGAATACAAATTGTCACCACCCCAATTCATCCCGTGGGTGTCGTAAGAGCCGACTAAGGGAGCAAACTAAGCAGGACAACAGCACTGCAAAGAGAAGGAAAACTTGAAACAAACCCTATATCAACCCGTCTGGCCAGCGTGGTGTAGTAGGCCAAAACCTCCTTTCTAAGGAGAGGCCTATGTCCAGCAGTGGACTAGTATAGGCTGTTGATGTGATGATGTGATGATGATGAACTAAGTGACTATGTAGTAGTATTCATATATGTATGTATATTTATCTCATTGTTTCTGCCTTACTTCTCAATAATTTTCTCTTGCTGCACTAGTGGTGGTGGTGACATATTGTGTTTACACACAATGTCACCTAATCACACATTTCCGCACCACCCTAAAATAGACTGGGATAAAATGCCTATGGCATTAAGTACGCCATTGTACAATTCATATTTGTACATAAAGAATTTAATAAAATAACAACTAAATAAATCCATCCATGGTAAGTGATGATAATAAATATCACAATTATTAATCTTTATATAAGAAGATGAAAAATTGGAATAAACAATAGGTCACTTAAACTATCTTAATCAGTTTTAAGGTTAATCTAGTATAATAGAAAATTTTGCAGAGATCATAATTTTATCATAGACTGACTGTGGACGGTGACAATTCTTCAGTCATTGAAACATCGTCGCGGAGGGCACGTAAAGTCGTCGATCCTGGTTGATTTACGAACATCTGTAGATAGTTGGAGCCGTAAAAAGTCCGATCGCAGTCTATCTACATAGAGCTTCGATATGGCCAAGGTCTTGGATTGTGGAGGTCTGATGGAAGTCGTTTTACCAAAAAATCGAAGATCAGTCATGTCCTGGTATACTGAAAGCAGACCCCAACATTGTTTGGGAAAAGACTCGGAGGAGGATTCAATATCTCGTCGCGGTCAATATTGGTCTAGATATTTTATGGCGATTTACATAGACAAGAAATCTGAATATTTTTATTTAGTCGGTTCTTGCTTTTAATTATACTCGTATTAAAAGCGAAAACGAGATTTTATGCTAACCTTGTAAATATTTATGATTCAGAATGTGATGAAATGTTGCACAAGTCCTTCGAGGTCTAAAATAACAGCTAAACCCGAAATAAAGGACTGTCTTACGGAGCATCCTTCACTTTCCGTAAGTAACACATATATAACTGTTACTATTCTAAAAAATAACAAAAAACTTTGTCAAAATAAGCTTTGCTGTGTTTTATTGAACTATTTACGAACTACTATGAGGCTGTTTACTGAACGAGTACTATTTCCAGTAGAACGAATAATTTGATTATAATTTGGTAGTGACACACAACTTTGACACTTATTTTGAATTAGTTTCAAGTATATTCAAATTTTAGATCTTTACTAAACTGTTTAAAATATCTATAATATTACTAAGTACCTAAAGAATATACTTCAGATACCTGTTAATATTATAAATCTTTGTAAATTATAGGTTAACACATAATGTTGACCAGACTGGCCTACTGTTCTTGTGGTTAATGATCATGACTGCTAAGCCGAAGGTCGTGGGTGTTATTCCCATCAAGGACAACTCATTGTCTGATACTCTATATAAAATGTATGTATTTAAAAAAATATATATTTATAAGTACATATTTTTATATAAAGTACGTAGTATGTTTATCAGCAGTCTAGTTATTATAATACAGGCTCTGCTTGCTTTGAGATCAGGTGACCGTGTTTGAGAATTCTAAAGTTATTATTATTGAATAATTTATAAATATACGCATAATTTACATATTCTAGTGTGATGCAGAGATATGCATAGCTAAGAACCTAGGATACTACAGGTCTGATGGCGAATTAGACATGGAGGCTTTAACAAACCACGTAGAGAAAGACATGGAGGATAATCAAGAATTATTGGGCCTAATTAAGAACAATTGTTTTAAAGCCGAACTCACTGATGTGTGTATTTATAAACAAGTGCATCTTTGCATGCTCAAGCAATCTATAGAAGTAAGTAAAATAACATGTTTAATGTAATTTACACATAATTATTTTCCTCGAAAATTATCCACAACGAGTCCGTAGCCAATTCTGAATAAGATACTTCTAAAAGTCTTTCAAAAATTTTAATGTATGTTTTCTTAATTATTTACAGAATTGCCAGGAATGGAGTAGCGAAGGACGCTGCGAAGAAAATAAAATTAAGGAATTAACTAAAGTTTGCCTGGATAATAATTAATTTAGCGTATTTTTGATTATGATGGTCTGTCAAAAATTTAAACATTGGAAATGTATGATAATTAAATTGCATTAAAATAATTTCTTGTTTTATTTTACCTTTAATCAAATATATATTAAATGCACGTTCTACAATATCAACCTTACTTACTTCGCTGTGTGAAAAATGTGTCTTGGCCTCCGACATAGTACGCCATTTTTCTCTGTTCTGTACCAGTTTAGACCAATTGGGCACTTTAATTTTTTCATATTGTAAAATCAAATTTAATATATCGGTGATCACTGTCCTAAATCACTACAGGTAGTGTAGTATAATTTTTTTTTGTAGCTCCATCTTTTTTATTAACAAATGACTATACACAATATGAGTTGTGTTGCTCTTGTTAATTTGTTATCTATGCTATTAAATACCTACACAATTAAAAATATATCATTGCCTAGCATTCGTTAACTATTTTTGTTAAAACTTAAATACGGTTAATTTTTTTGTTTTTTTTTTGCTTTACTACTTGCAAAAAATAAAAAACAAATTGCAACACCTAAAAATACAGCTAAAAGTCAGAAAATGATAATTGGGAATTTTAATAAACATTGGACCGTTCAATTTCTTTCCATAGATGGCGATTTTAGCGGACATATCGTCTCAGTGACGTGGTATGTGCTATACAAAGGTAGCACTCGTTTCATGCTTGTGCATTGAATAGATAGGAAAGAGACCATTTCATCGAACCTAAAACTAGTTTTTGACAAGGGGAGACTGTCGATCTGTTTTACTATATTTTTACATTTAGCCTTTGTCTGTAATTTTTTTTTCATTCTCTTGTGTTCCCATTTTCTTTTAATATTTATGGTATATTCTAAAAGAAATGAAAGTATTATTACCATAGATATATTATTATAGAATTCATACACCAACTACCTTTTTCTCGCGGCTCCGTCTACGTGTATGTTGGTTATTGCGAGAAAAGTCACTCACTGATTATGTAGCTTTCTATTTGTGAAATAATTTAAAAAACAGTTTAGTTAATACGTGAAAGGTAAACAAACAAACTCAACTAAACAACTAGAAAAAATGTGTAATCAATGAGATCATACATAAACGTATTCTGTGAAGTGAATTCCTATACAACTCTGTTCTGAAATAGCCAGCCGGTAATACTAAACATAAGATGACGCATTCACTATATTAAATCTTCATTTGTCCTGCGATTACATTGACAAAGTTTTTATACTTAAGCCATGCTAAAGTTTACTATATTTCAAATTGTTTTTCGTTTTTACGTCTTTAGCTATTACGTTGGAAACTTTTAAAACCAACATTCTTTTATTTAATTATCTGCGGATTGGTGTGCAATTCGGAATTCAAATAAATTTTATTCGTAAACCATGTTGTTTTTAATTTAAAATTCAGTCACTTGTTTTAGATAGTGTTTGGTTTTTGTGAAATTGTGGTAGTTTTTGGCGCCATGAATAAACTGAAAATTCGTACAATTTTCAATATGAGTGCCTACGCGGCAATACCTAATAATGCTTGCATAAACAAGGTTCATTATTAGTTCAATCGTTTTAGATCTGGAAATTTTGAGTCGAAGAACGAGCCTCGAGGTAAGCCGATAAGTATAGTCGACAACGACGAATTGAAGGCGATAGTGGAAGGGGATCAAACTTAATCTACGACTAAGCTTGCTGCGATAAAGCCTACTGCAAGCTCAGCCAAGCCAGAGTTTACGAGACTTACGCGTCGAATCATAGCACATAGAAACGATGAAATTTTAAATCGAATTGTTATCTGCCATGAAAAGTGGATCCTGTGCGACTACCGTAAGCGTTCGATTCAGCAGTTGGACCCGGGTACATCACCTAATCAGTGCGCTAAAAAAGATCACTCATTGAAAGATGATGGTAACTGTTCGGTAGACCAGTACCGGACTTTTACATCACAGCTTCTTACCGAATGGCACAACAGTGACGGCAGATGTCTATTGAAAAGAATTGCTAACAATTTTGGAGAAGCTCGCAATTCATCGCATTCATTCAGTCGCTCTTCCCCATTGCTTCTCCACGACAACGCGACAGCTCACATTTCACGACTAACCATCGCAAAGGTACCCACCGTACTCAACGGACATTGCTCCAAGAGATTTCTACTTTTTTCAAAACTTAGTCAAGTTAGTTAGTTTAGTTAGTGGGAAAAAAATCAACACCCAAAAGGCAGTACCAAACGCTTAAAATCTGAATTTACCTGTTCTGACTTCGTAGATTAAGACATAAACAGAAATAGTAATGTTTTCAAATTAATGGATAATATTCATTACAATGCCAAAGATATAACACTGACTTTTCATTTGCAAATCACAGTTATGACCAGACATTTGGCGTTGAAGTCACTCATGGAAATATCTGATATGATTGGATTTTATGATCTTAGGGTCTGGCGAGTTTATAATATATATTTATAACACTTGTCAGCTGAATGGATATTACAATAAGACGAATGGAGTAGGTATAAGGGTTGTACCTCAACTCAACTACAGTCCTCATGGCCCTGGTAGTTCTTAGATACTGAAGAGACATAAAACTCTTCTGGGGGTTAATTTACAGTTAAGACACGTCAACCATGAAATAATTTTGTAGCGGCTGCATTAAGGACATGTAAGGCTCTTGGAAGTTTATTTGATCGTCCATTAATTGCGCGTAATGTTTACCGGAGGAACTTTTTTCTTATCATGTTAACCAATACAAAAAAAAACATAAATTTAAAACATCAGAAACAACTACGGTTTTTATCGAATTGCCATTTATTCTACAGATAAATAATTCTTGGTTATTTTACGTACCTAAAATATTTGTTATAAAAGTGATAGCATGTTCTCACAGAAAATAAGAAAGCAATTCTTTTCTATTTTTTTATCTACTGATAGAATGTACCAGAGGCCCAACAACCGATGGTAATTGCCTACCTCCGCTTATCGCCACCAAGAGGCACAAATGCATTGCCAGCCTTTGGTCCTTTGCTAGAAAATTTAAATTACATATAAAATATACACACAAATAATAATTATTTTATTAAGTTAAAAATATTAGTTATTGTTAACCGACTTCAAAAATAATGAGTTTATCAATCAGGATGTTTAGATTTTTATGTATGTTCGGACATAACTCCGTCATTTTAGACGGATTTTCAAAATTCTTCATTGTTCGAAAGGGGTTTATTCCGAAATGGTCCCATTTAAAATTCGTATAGATCTGATGATAAGTTTCGGAGACAGACAACGGTATTCTTAAAAAAAAATGACAGCAAACCACGATTGCTGTTAGGTTTTTAGTGCTCTTTGTTAGTATTGTTTGAAGTCGGTTCAACTTTTTTTAAGAAGGATTTTCTTGTATATAATAGATACACCGTTATGTGAATAATAAAGTTCTAAAAAGAGAATAATAAACGTTACATATTTAGGTTTAACCACCAAAATCTAAAAAAAATACCCTTTAAAATTTTTGGTGTACTCATAAAAAAAATGGCTAATTGAAAAATGCTTCTACATTGTTAAAGAATTTTTTTTTCTTTTCTTAATCTTTGAATTATTGTATGTCCAAAACGGGCTGATTGATGTTACTATAATATTATGTACCTACAATAACTGTATGTACTCAATAGAAACACTGAAGATTACTTAACTTTACTTTACATGAAGCGCTTAAGGATCAATCCTCATCCACGTACACAACCATCGTGAATCATTTCAAAGACAAATATTTACTTAGCCAAGATCAATTTTAGCTATGTTAATTTATATTTCTATAACCTAGTCTGAACTCTTTAAATCGATGGATTACACACTCGGATATGCTAACATTTATTATTTATTGTACAGACACTGATATATTAAAATGCTTAAATCACTACTGACACAAATTAGTATAAAATTAAATAAGGCATCTCGTAAAACATTAACTCTAGTTAACCACTGAATTAATCTTAAAAAGGTGTGGGGATTTGAGACAAAACAGACGCTACTGCGTTTTGTAATTAAGAAGACTTGTAGTAAAATAAACTCCCAGTACTTTCCACTGTACGAGTCTAATTACGTAAAAAGCAATAGCGATTGAACGAGTTTTTAATTAAATTAGTTGAGATTTTCTCGGAGTTTCATTTGTAGAGGATATTATTATTTTCATGTTACAACGGCTCTAATTATTGACAAGTATCTGTAATGCAAATAAACAATGAAAAAAGGTTTTTTAAATTTTTGTTATTATTTCCTTTATTTTAGTGAACAACAGAATGTTTAGAAAATCGGTCCCTACCCACAGAACAAATTTCTCTCAATTTTTACTTCTACAAATATTACAAGTGTCTGATAAAATATTGGACATCCACATTGTTCCAATTTTATTCCTGGTATAACGAGTATGTTTAAAGAATATAATATATTTTCATAAAGACGAAATAGCCACTTACATGTGAATTCAAATCAAATAATAATATTATGGTAGACTATATATGGTAACTGCAGTTTCAAAGAAAAGAAGGTATAGATACATTTAGTGGTTTTCGATTATGTATTTGGACAATTGAGATTTAAAAGCGCCAAACTATTTTCCATTTTTTCTAGCTAATAATAAACTTTCATAAGTTTATTATATATATATATAGAAAATGAAAATCACCGACGAAGGGTCACAGATATATATATATTTTCGGTGATTTTCATTTTAGCAAAATCACTTACTAATTTTGACAGACAATTTTGACAATGGAGTTGTATATGGTATAGCGATGTCTTTAAGTGTACAGTAACTTACATTGTACAGTTATCAGTGATAACATTTTATTATTAATGTAGTCGATCGGTGTGTTCTAAGTTAATATAGTGTTTAGGAACGGGTGGTATGTCCCTCTAACACAAAGGGAGGATCCTCCGACCACACGAGGTGATCATGCCTGGCGGACCACGGCCCAACGGTTAATGTTGGGCACTTGTATATATGCTAATCGGCGAC